GCAAAGCCAGTTCCTTAATAGTAAATATATCAAGAACAGGAAGTTAGTATATTTATTTCTAGCTAGCATTGGTTCAAATTTTGTCTTTTCACTTTTAACTAGTATGAAAAGCATCGGCACAACTGGTTATGTAGTTTGATGAATGCCTGCTAGCCAAAGGTGCTGAAAATAAATTCAATTAAAGGACATGAAGTCCACAGAATACATTATGATATTATGAGTAATTTTAGCTAAGTAAATTTAGCTAAATAAATCGAACTGAAATGATGATATGCTCCCAGACGCCAAATATCATCGTAACAGTAGAACGAGCGAGAAGTAGAATAAGCGAGAAGCAGCATCAGCCGGTGGTTTCCCGCCTGCTCGAAGCAGGCCGGCTGTTAAATAGGAAAATTGCAGAATCAAGAGACTATATTGTGTGGCTGGAGGTTATATCAACCATTATATCAACTGTTATATCAACTGTTATATCAACTGTTATATCAACTGTTATATCAACCATCATATCAACCATTATATCCACTATTATATCAACTGTTATATCAACCGTTATATCATATAATACCTATCACATCAGCTGTTAGATCAGCCATTAAAACAACCGTTAGATCAACCATTAGATCTTAATCGTTATATAATATAACACTCATTACATCAACCGTTAGATCAACTGTTAGATCAATATGCACTCCTTGCATTAACACTTACTCCTTGCATCAATCCGAATAATTTATTAGATAATTCGGTTATCCATCCATTAATCTATTTTATCTGATTATCTATTTGATATCTGGATATCTGACGGATAAACGGATAAATAGATAATAGATTGGAACTCTATAAAAGAGAATAAAGAATATATTTTAAATATTTGTGATTTATCTACAAATCGATATACTGCATCTTTTTTTTAAAGTATAGCTCGAAAAAATCTTTAATTCGAATTCTATTTTTATTAATTCAATCATTGCATGCGTAACTGATAATCTCGTTGTTATGATTCGAATGAAAAATGATTTCCAAAAAAATTATTCGAATATTATTATGATCTGCTGCTGTCTTCATGCTTTTAATTTGCTTGCAAAAGATATTTTTTCTTTTCAACCTTTAGTTACAATTATTAAAAACAACCAAAAAATCATTAATTTTTTTACTTCTTCTTATATCTGGCTTCATACACTAAAAGAATAGCAAAAAAAGAAGGATTGCATCATTCACTTATAACATTTTGCAAAACTAGATAGTATTTCTTGTAAAAGTTTGTCTGGGAGTTAAAGCCTTTGAAAGAAGTTTTATCACTATATTGATATTAGTAGAACTAGTAATTACCCAATGATTAGAATGGAGATTCAAGACATAGTCACCAACTACCACCATTTTGCAAATAATAATATATTAATAAAAGTGCTTATTCCTGTTATAGATGCTATCGGTTGCCTTGAGTCGAGAGATGCCACATTAGCTGATATCGTCAAAGAACTAATAAATATTCATTGCACTATCTCTGCAATGAATATTCTAATTAAAGGGTTCAAAAATCATATATTGGCAGCTATTAATAAACAAACACGTGAATTTTCTAATAATATTTATTTTGTAGCATTTTTTTTGTCACCAAACCATAGAGAAATAGCAACTTCAAGACAAATATTAGAGATTCAATCGTCAGGGCATTCTTGGAATTAGTGAAAGTTTGAAGCTTTGACAAAAGAGAAGCAACGCTTTTGTCTAAAGAACTTATTAGTTATAAGAATTGTGATACACCTTTTAATTTCCAATATATTAGCGATATATTAACCTCAAAATTTTTTGATCCCAGTTTACTGGAAGTTTTTCAAATCTTCACCGATTTTTGATAAAAATATTTTCAATTGTTTCTCATTCAGCAGCTGTTAAGCATTTGTTTTCTAGTTTGGGACTAGTAAAAACAAAGCTACGAAACAGGATGTCTCCTGCTATGACTGGAATGCTTGTGATACTTTGCTATGATCTTCATCAAGGACTACCTGAAATATCAAAAAAAAAATAAAATAAACAATCAAGACTTAAATAAAGACTCTATAAATCTTGAGACTGAAGATGCCGATATTGACCTCTATTTCGAGAAAGAATTTAACAAAGAGTTCTTGCAAATTAATGTTGAAGCAGTAAATATAGAGACGAATAATGAGCTAGCAATGAGTCATTTTTTTAATCTTAGATTGTTTGAACAAAATCAAAAGGATGTAGTTGAAGATAGTTCAACTATTAATTCTCAAAGACCTACTAATAATATCAATATCGATTGGTTAGTTGATGATATATTCTTTTAAATGTAGTATTTTTTTATAATAGATTTGAAAATGCATATAAGTGTTTTTGCTTGTATACTCACAAAATTAACAAATATAAAATAATTAATATTCCGTCTCTAAAAAAAAAAATTGTTTCAATAATGTTGGAATTTTTTTATAAAAAATTAAAGTGAAATTAAATCCTATAATAACTTCTCTTTGATTAATATCTGTGATCTTTAAATATATATGTCTAAGATTTAAAGTATAAAATCCTTTTATATTTATAAATCATTAATAAATTTATATTTAAAGTGTTAAAGTATATAGATTATATAAACCTTGAGATCTTAGATTAATACCAGAATCACTAAATATAACTTGTATGAGCTCTAGATCCAAAAACCTGATATAGTCTACTGTGTTTGGAAGAGATTTCAAAAAACAAAATATTTGAGAATATAATATGTAGTTATAATAACAATTTGTACCATTGTAAATTTGCACAGATTAACGTTATTTTATAATCCTATTTTATTGCACAGTGTCTGACATATATATGTATATACAATCTCATGCCAATAAGTAAATGAAAAAAGCACAGGTTGTTACATAAAACTCATACAAAAATACGGTTATCTATATCGTGATACAAAATTTCATTAGTCGATCTTACAAATAGCATGCCTAACTGTTTGAGCTTTGAGCATGCCACTAGCATGCCAATAACTACTGTGCTACTTATCCTATATCAACTAAAGGATTTTTACTTATAGCTACATATAGCTATAATAATTTATACATCATAGCATGCTGATAAATATTGCAAATAAAGTTCTATAATTTGTGATGTTCTGTATATTTCTTAAAAATTTAAGTTGGTTTTTGGTTTTGTATTTTTAAAAAGTTGCAAATTGTTTGATATCTATCATAAGTAACTAGTAATCACTTTTGCATTCCTCGATCTATTTTTGCAATATATTTTATAATTTTTTATATTACTTATTGAATTAGGATTAACTTCTAATAGATCTGATATATACATTTCTGAAATAATTATACCATGTTCAGGCTCTGATCATTGTATAATGCTAATATACTTAATAAAAAAACTTTTTTTTTATGAATATATGTTTGAGATTTTATTATAAAAGATCTTGATTAGGGAGTTATATTATTAATTTCATCAACAAATTCTATTTATAAAGTAGCTAACGAATCTAATTAATTTTTCATTACACTTAAGACAATTACATTTTCTATTATTAATGTTAGTTATATGTATTTCTTATACTATTTAGATTGATTTCTAACGCTTTTTTGATTTTTAATAACTAAATTAATAGAATTTATCTTTTTATTTTTTTTATCAATAAGGTTTTCTAAAATTGATAATAAGTATATATTTAATTCTTGTTCGTGTTCTACTTTCATTTCTGGAAAAACATAATATAATTCTTCATATTGTTGATCTGTTAGTAAATTATAAAGCCAAGAAGCAATTGTAAACTGTATAAAATCATTTTTATTTATATTTAATATAACAAAACTCATAACTGTATGATATATAACTATATTGTATTCATAATTAAGATAATTAAATTAACCTCGTTGCTTAGGAGGCATCTATAAATAATATTATATACTCCACATAGTAGCTTTTGACCCCCCTAGACTATATAAAAAAAATTTAAAAATTCATATATTTATATATAAATTTTTACAAAATCTTAATTATTTTGTGACCCAGTAATCCAAATTAGATAAATTTGGTACTATTAGATTTGTCTCAATAAGAGTAATTCAATGGTACTAAAATTATTTAATTTGGATTACTGGATTAAAAAATATAGGCAAAAAATATTACTTCTATAGTAATTTTTTATAAAATAATATAGTCAATAGTTTTTTGCCAATATCTTTTGATTTAGTGATCCAAATTGAATAATTTTGATACTATTGGATTCCTCTCACTGAGACAAATCCAATTCATCTAATTTGGACCACTGGGTCACGAGATATTAATATTTTTATAAAAAATTATATTATTTTTCTTGTTCCTTTCTAACTTAGCAAAAAATGTAAAAAAACATTATTTTGTGAAACCTCTTCCTCTCTTGTATAATGTTATTTATGAATGCTCTCTTATTATCAAAGACCAAAAATAATAGCCCTTTAGATAAAGGTTCATTTTCAATTGCTAATGATTCTAGCCACTTAATAAATTTTTTATAATATCCAGAACTAATTATATGATTATCGATATTATTATAGAATAGTTTATTATCTTATTAGTTTATTATTTTGATATTGTATAATTATTAGTTATTATTTATTATTTTATTATTTTATTATTATTATTATTTAGTTATTATTATTAGAGTAGAATTTAACAGACATGTATTATGCTTAGGGCAGTATCATTTATCACCTGATTATTTTTTATCAGAGACTTACTCTTCTCCCCCCTTTTAATATAAAAAAATTAGATTCTTATATATAATTTTAACTTTTTTTACTCCTCTCTTCCCTAAAAAATCAACTGATTTTTGTCACATCCTTTAACACTTAATGATTAATGATTAGCAATTAGCAATTATGCTTAGCGATTATGCTTAGCAATTATATTTAGCAATTAATGATTAGTAATTATATTTAGTAATTAATGATTAATAATTATGCTTAGCAATTATGATTAGCGCTTAACACTTAATGATTAGTGATTACACTTTATGCTTAGCACTAAATAAACTACGCTTAGCTACAACGATTAGCAATTAGCTCTAAAGATATAAAAAAGATATAAATTTTTCTAAGTTAACATTAAACCTGCACTGTTACCTTTTAGACCCAGACTTCTTTCTTTTCTAAATTCTCTCTTGTAATATTATAAGATTCTTTAGAAATAAAAATCTAAAGATAGCCTATCTTATTCTTTCTAATAAAACATATAAACTATTGTCTGCCCAAACTGCTACAGACAGAAGAGTATAGTTTCTAGTTGTAG